CTATGAGGATATTTAAATATCAAGTATTTAATGCACCCAGAAATGCACAAAACACCTCTATGTTTTACTTTGAGCCAAGACTTGTCACCACAATCTCAAGACTGTCTTTCCTTCCTCCTTCCCCTGCCCAGCCTCATTTCTTAGCTTTGCTCAATCCACATAAGACATCTCTAATAACCATACTGATAGCCAAGTTATATTTGTGGCAGAAGAAAAGAAAATCTGCTTTTTTTTGTACTGCTCCTTAAAATTTCATATTAAAGGTATGAAATTTATTATTAAAGGTATGAAATTCATATTAAAGGTATGACATGCTCCTGCGACCAACCGACAAGAGCTTCAGAGAGCCAGCTCCAGCAATTTCACACATCTGCTCTCAGGCTAACACATTGCCACAACAGTCGTGCAAACCTGCCTGTCTCCTCAGCAATGTCATTCTTTTATGCCTATTTTTCTCTCCCTCATCACACCCTCTTGAAACAAGCTGGCAACTCCAACCATAGGCATTTTGCTACAGAAAATTGTTTTATTCTATGCTTCTCCTCTACTTATGTGTCAAATAAATTTACAAGCAGATGGGGGAAAAGCTAACCAACAGATCCAAATAAGTATCCTCATGTTTTTGCAAATACTAAGTGGTCCATTGATTTGAAAAGCTACGCTTTTTATGTTTTATACTGTATTTTAAATATGTCCCACTGCATGTTTTCAAGCAAGTCTTTGAATTCTTAAAAATTATATATTTAATACAAAAACTATGATTTTATTAACACTCTATCCCACACAACACCTTCTACATACCCATACAGAATCATTACTCAGAAGCACAGCATGAAAATTAGCTCCTTCCTTAAAGAAAACACTAGGTGTAATCATTCTATGGGCATACACTAAAAACATCAGTGTAAAGTCAAAAAGGTATGCTAGTCCATGAAGTTAACTACATAAAATAATCTTCTTCTACAACTCTGTTTTTAACATGTGAATTTGAGGAAAAGTGTGAAGAAAAGGCAGGAAAATATTGGAATTATACTAACCAAGTTTCTGAGGCTTTGCCTCATGCATTCACACAGTTAGTCTGCTCCCATTGTTTTAATGGACACAGAAGCAGATACCTTTTCATCAGATCATCCCACATCTTCTGCAAGTCAGGATAAAGCACAAGACATCACTACCAGAAGTAATTTTTGTTGCCAGGAGCCAGGAAAAAAAATTAAAACCAAACAACTTGTCCCACAAGCTATTTCAGTCTGATGGAATACAACCATGGCTTCATCACCACAGTAACAATTTTGCACACTTTCCCTAGAACAAGCAACAGAAAGGAATCACTTTCCAGCACTTCTTGGGCACTGAGAGCCTGTGATTCCCCACACACCAGAGGCTTGCAAAGAGTCACATGTATTGTAAATATTTCAAAAGGTAAGTTGATAGGATTTTCTTCTAAATTTGTTGAAATTTTACAATGTTGCATTTTGACAAATCTAGCAAGAAACTTTATTTGGAAGAGTTGAAGCACCATTTCCCTAACTAGGTATTTACAAGAAAATAACAATCATTTAATCTTCCTTGCTGGGTTTGAGAGTCTCTGAATCCTTGGCTTGACTTACTATCATTCCATATCATGACTCTTCTCATATATAGTCTTCTAAATACGCTGTCCTCAACTAAAGCAGTAAGCAGCATAAAAAGCTAAAAGCATTATTTTAAAGATACATATATAAGCATTTAAATAATTTATATAATAAAAATGAGAGGACCCCTTTCATGAGTGCACGACGGGCAGTAGATGGCTTAGTTGTCTGGTTTTCCCTTGCATGTTCCAATTCCATTTTTTCTCCCCACCATTGTCACTACTGCTGTTCTTCCCCTTCTTTTTAGCTGTCAGTAGATAAAACTCCAGCAGAATTTAGCTTGAAGCTGACCCTGATTCCATTTAGCACTTTGCTGCATCCATACAGACCCTTCCTTGGCTGTGAGGAACAGAGAGACATCCTTGGTGTGTTCCATGTGCAGGAGGAAGATGAGCCATCTGGAAAGCAGCTCATTCCAAGGGCTTGGTGTGAGCTGTGGAACTGTCTATGGATACAGGGCAGTATGCTCATGTAAGTACCCTGTAACAACTGTAGAAAAATAAACATGCCAACTCCTGCATCCCTCTCAATCCATTACCTCTGGGGTCACAGAATGTAACCTCACAGTGAAAAGGTAAGTACATGGAGGTGGTCCCACATTAAATAATGAAAACTATTTTAAGGCCATTAAAAACTACCATTTGTTATCTGCCCTCTGCCTTTCTCAGTGGTAAGAACATCAGTATTTGACCACTACACAATAGTATACAAGACTGCAAATCCACTGGAACTGGATTCAAACAGGGAAATTTCAGCAGGTACCTTTCACTGCATGGTGCAGCATTAAATGGTGCAGCTGGGCCAATGCTTGCAAACAGGCATGGACACTCCCTCACTGCTTAATAACATGGTGCTATGACTGCCAAAGAAATAAAATCTAAATAGTCTGAAGAGTTTTATAAACTTTCTATGATCTAGTTATCCCTCTACATACAAGCAGAAATAAAAATCCCAGTGAAGCACAAAATCTCTGTAAGAATAACTTGTATTTAGTTTGGTAATACTTAAAAGCCTCAGTCACCTCTGAAGAGACACTGAATTCAGACTGTAAAGTTTACAGTCATTCTTAAAAGGAGAAAGAAAAACACTGACCAGAAATGGGGAAGAGAGTGAGATTAAATGCACACTACTGGGCAGAAAACATAAGCTATTTAGTTGTCAGCTACTCTAAACCTGTCCAGACTTTGAATACTAAATTTAAGACTGAATTAAGGTGACTTTAATTTAAGAATTAGAATTTAAGGTGATTACCACCTCATTCTATATCACACAGAAGACTGTAGTCTTGCAATCCTCTACTATGAGAAGAAAAAACTTTAAAAATTTTTAATCTTCTGAGAGAGGTGGGGTTGCTCAGCCTGGAGAAGGAAGGCTCTGTGCAGACCTTAAGTTACCTTCCAGTACCTAAATGGGCCTGCAAGAAAGCTGGAGACAGACATTTTGCAAGAGTATGTAGGGACAGGACGAGGGATGAAGGCTTTAAATTGAAAGGGAGCAGGTTTAGATTAGCTGTCAGGAAGAAATTGTCTACTGTGAGGGTGGTGAGGCACTAGAATGGGCTGTCCAGAGAAGCTGTGGGTGCCCCATCCCTGGAAGTGTTCACAGTCAGGCTGGATGAGGCTTTGAGCAGCCTGGGCTAGTGAAAGGTGTCCCTGGCCATGGCAGGGAGCTGGGAATGAGATCATCTTTAAGGTCCCTTCCAACCCAAACTGTCCTGCAATTTCACTCAACTGGAAATGAAATCCCATCACAACAAATCAGGCCTCATATACAGATTTCAATGTTTTAAGAATAAAATTTGAAATCAGAAGAAGAAACCCCACACATCTAGACAGAAAATATGCTGGATTTCTGTTGTCATTTTTAAAAAAAACAACCTATTCTGAACCTACAAAATATTCCAGAGTAGAAAAGGTATCTGTTTTTCTATTTTCTAATACATTATGTTTGAATTAAGTATAATTAATAATACTGATTTTATGCACAAAATTTATGCCACTATGGTTTCAACTGGTTCATATCCTTATGAGGCCAAATAAAACAAAGCCAGAAGAGTTGAGCTCTGGGAAAAGATTCAATTAAATTCCTTGGAGATAAAAGCAAATTTATATTCTTAAAGTTGTTCAAGTCCATGGAAAGAACATGACAAATTCAACAGACATCCTCATAGATTTAAAAAACAAAACAAAAAGAACAGCCAAAATCCACAACCCTGAGTGGAAGTGTACCCAAAGCAGACACTGCTCTAAAGCCCACAGAGATGCTGTTTGAGAAAACTGAGCAGATTTACATCATATACAAGAATTTCCCCTACACTGCTCTTTCTCACTTTAATCTAGTGACCAGACTTACGAAGCATCCTTTTGTCCCTGCTACCAGTTAGTTCCCCTATGTCCTTGACATCTCTATAGGACATGATTCATGCTTGTCTAACATTTACTGAAGGACAGTGTTGGTAGAAAACAATCCTTGATCAATCGTCAGTCAAAGCTATAGAAGTCTCTCACAAATTTTTTGCTGCCTTTGATTCTCCTCTTGCCATAACAAAAAGTACATAAGCAACCATAGCCATGCTTAAACACAGCAAACCAAAGCAAACACTTCACTTAGGAAATTGCAATAAGCCCCTGGCATAGAAACTGCCATTCTCCCCAACACACTGGTCAGCCCTAAGTCTATTACAGAGTTTTCTAAACTGAAGTGGCACTGCCACCTTAAGACATGAGGCCAGCATTACAATTTTCACTATACTAGAGTAGTAAAGAAGAAAATAGTTTTAAATTACCTTTACTTTCTGAATTTTTTTAAAAATCTATATTCATATTAGAAAAAATTAAAAGTGCACAAATGATTTATTGCTTTAAGTTACTTATCATGTTATTAATACTCTTCTCAATTAAGTGGCAATTTAACTATGCAACCTAGCTTAGGCTGAGCATTTTAACATTCAGTAAAAGGCATCACTGTGAACCAAAGTTCTCCATTCTGCCCACAGCCAGCACAAAAATGCACTGCATTTTGTAGCCCTTAATTTTCAGCAACAGTGATAATACTTTTGGCAACTAGCCACAGCTACTATGACATTTATAAGAGGACTTTTAAATACATACACTCAAAAAATTTGATGAGTTCACAGTACAGTGATATCACAGTTAGAATATTAATTGAGGTAAAAGTCTTGTCAACTATCACAAACTCGGAATAATTTAAAGGACCCAGACCATTCTCTTATTTTATCTATGAATATGGCACTCCACTACTGTGTAGATGACATTCAAACTAAAACGATTCTTCATCTTTGGACAAGATATAAATTAACTTTTAAAAACTACTTCCACATGATGATACTGGAAAGAGCCCTCTTACCCTTTGTAGAATACGCTTCAGCAATCATCCGTAGCCGATACGGTGCCACTGCAGTCAGCTGCAAGTCATCAACACCAACTCTAGCATATGTGTTCAGAGCTTCTTTGTAATCACCTTCCACATAGTTTAATTTGGCCATTATTAGGTTGGCTTCTTGTAGGAATTCTGGCTAGAAGGAAGAGAAATAAGAAAGGGTTTTCCCTAAGAAAAGACACCTAATTCTTTCTGATAATTATTAGGTATGTTTTCTGTCACCCCCAGAATATTTCTTCTAACAGAGCAACAAATGAACAAAATCCTGTCTTGTGTAATATTTGAGAAGATTGAAGTAGGGGGGAATTCACTAAATCTCATTCCAGCAAGCTACTGAAAAGCATTACCAGCCATTTTAGATATTCACATGCGTATTTACACGGGTACCAGAAATACCTCTCAGTTGAAAACCAGCTTTTCCAGGTGATAAAACTATTTAAAGGCAGCCTATCATTACAGCTCCTCATATGACTTCTTTTTCTAACACAAGCACAGTTGAAAATAACATAGCATCAAAACTTAATGATATATGTTCCACAGCCTACATATTTAATTCACATCATTTCAAAGTATCAGGGCAGAATAAATGTATTGAAAAAAATAATTAATGGAGGAATGAAGAGAATTAATGGAGGAATGAAGAGAGAAAAGAAAGAGAAATTAATACTCCCAGAAGCCACTGAAAACAAAATGTTACAGATGAGTGTACACAAAGCTTCTTTTGATCTCTGAAAAGATGGATGTTGAGTACAGAAAAGGTAAGCTGACATAGTAGCTACAACAGTTAAGTAAAACAAGGACCAGAATGGTTATGAACATTAGAAGATCCTGACAGAAAATGCTCTCTTGTATTAATCTCACTTTCAGAATCTGCAAATATAATTTAAGGAACCTTTCCTCAATACTTCAATCAATGCCAATTTTTCTAATTCCTGCTCAGGCCGACTTACATACCTTGAGATTACCCCTATCAAGTGCTGCCGTGAGATGTTTCCTGACCTCGGTCAGCTTTGGCTGGGGGCCCCGGGGACTGTTACTGTGTTTAAGAGTATTTTCCTTCAAATATTGTTCTAGTTTGGATTCCCCAAGAAGAAGCTCTGCCATGTCATCTGTAAAAACAACAAACACAGGAAGTATTAGAAATAATTTTATTTCACTAACATTGCCTGGATTTAAACACAAACTAACCAAAGCAAACACAACATTAAGTATTTGGGTTTATCACGTCACATGATATTTTGTTTTACTTTTCAATTTATCTTTTCCCTGCCTGATGCACTGTAGAATCAAGTCTCCTGTGTTCTAAGATAAAAAGAATTAAAACATTAACCTCAAGTCAGTATTCTCCCCTTCCTCCTCAAAAAAGCAGACAACTGATTCTGTACAGCAATTCAAAGCAGGTTAGTTTGGTTCAAGGAGTTTAACATGGGCTGTGTGAAAGGCTCTCAGAGATCTGAGGCCCACTCCAAACTCACAAAACTGAACTTCAGTTCACTGTATGCAGTTAATTGCCTTTCAAAGAGTCAATCACTGGCGGGTCCTTTCAGGACAGGTATTTTACTCATAATATTCAGAAGACTCCAGAGTCTTGTTCTGAGTAAACAATTTTTGTTTATGAGTCCCTTTAAAAAGGAGATTAACAAACAGGAGTGAAACTTGAACATAATACTTTAGGTCAGCATGGTAATGTCCCACTTGGGAGAAGAACAATGAAGATTAATTTTGTTCATTGGCAACAAAATTGCAGTGGCAACTTTTTAAAAGGGTGAAAATATATCAAACTAGTTACTTTATGTTTTAAGGGATTTGCAAGTTGATACTTTCTCTCTGATCTGTACTTAGGGAAGCCAAAGTATTTCACTTAACAAGTAACATTTCTCTTTCCTTTTACCCAGTTTAATGCTTCACTGAGCAAGCTCCATTTCCAAAGATGGTAGAGGAAACAAGATTGTCAAACATAGCAAGGAATCTAAATGACACTCTAAAACAAGTGCTTTGGTTCAGGAGCTGAAATACCACCAAGGCTGTTTACACTGCAAAGAGTGAGGTTTACCACTGACATTCTTTAACACTTCAAATAGCAGAACTTCAGAAGCGCCAAAGAAGAAAGTATCACATGTACATTTCATTCTCACATGCAACCCTTCAAGAAGGTCCTAAAAACTGCTCTGGTCCAGACTCGTGTAACAAGCATTTCTTTACTGAAGTTAAATACAGTAGATCTGTCTCTGTGGAGAAAGAGGTAAGAACAACTGTACTGTTGAGCTAAGAACAGCACCAGCTGCCAGGTATGTTTTGTTTATATAAACTGAAAAACGTCAAGGAGGCATGTGAAACAACTAGTTTGGATTGTTACGACACATGAGCCAAAGAACAGGTCAGGCACCAAATAAAAAGAAAATAAACTTCTCACTGCTAGGTATGAAAATGCATACCTTGAGGCATGAGGATTTGTAAAACAAGGTGCTGAAATCATCTCTACTAGTAATGGGGAAAAGTAACCAAACAACAGCACTGGCACACGCAAGAGCAAAGTGTAGCCATATCAGCTACACCACAGAAAGAGGAAGAGCATCTTCTCACCCATTTGTGGGGCCACAATAGAACAAGACAGTGCTAGACATAAATCTAGCACTCTACAGAAAGTTTGTAAGATTATTCCTCTCTTACACGTTGCAGAATTTCTCACAGTGGGGAAAGGAAGAGGAGAGAAACAAGAAGCCATCTCTGGAAAATTTAATGTATCCTCTCTCTCCTTTTCCTCTCTCATCCTCCCACCTTGACCCTAAGAAAAGCTTCACCTCCCTGATAACGACTTGAAAACTTTAGAAATGTAATGCTTCTAAAGACAGGACACAAGCACGAACAAAGCCTTAAGTTCAAACTGGCACATACCCTAAAACTATCCTGGCACCTTAAGAGGGGAATCAAAGTAGTCTACAGGAGCCAGGTATTTTGTTCCCATCCTTGATGCCCCTCAGAGAAGCTAATGATCCACACAGAGCTAGAGACAGTCACAGTGCAGTGACATGCAGTGCCCATGCTTTCCTTCAAAGCAAACGTGGGAGAGGAGAAAACAGCAGCTGCAACTTACACCCAGGCCTGAGCAGCAAAACAAAAGCTGCTCTTCCAGGTCACTCACACCCAGCTCAGCTCAGTCCTTCCCTGTAGCACTGCTGCAGATCATGAGACAGCACCATGAGAGACAGAGGCAGAGTTACTGTCAGAATGGCTTTCATGACAGAGGTGCTGCTCTGGGGCAGCTGCTGATGACTAACACTTGAAAACAGCAGGTCACAGACTGCAAACCATAAAAGCCACTGCAAAGCAGAATTTTCTTATTTACTGAGTCTCTCATCTGCTAAGTCAGTCAATCAGGGCCAGATATTGGCAACAAATTTTTAAATCAAATTATTACTGAGTGAATACTGTATTAACAAAGCATTGGCTTTATGCGTCAACCATTCTGTGCCAGTAAGAATGACATTCAATGGTGCCTGTAACAAAATTCCAATTACATGGACATTTTTGAAGGAAACCATTTATGAAGCCATAGATCTAGCAGAGTCTTCCATTAGTTATAGCTATCCCTTAAGACATCCTGAAATAACCTAAGAACTGTTTGAGAAGAAATTGCTTTTCTTTTTCTTCCAGCACAGTATGAGTGATCTAGATTATAGTCTTCTATTAGACACTTTACAGAGACAGAATTAAACTGTGTAAAGTTGATAACATGAAGTTTAGTGTTCCTTCAGCCAGTTTAAACAGATGTTTCAGAAGAAAAACTGTTCGAAAACAGTTTCAATACCATGAAATCCAGTATCCCACTTTCAGAAAATTCACACAGTTATGGCTTAGTATAAAATTCATGATTAAAGGAGAGATTCCCTCTTATCTATTTCTGTGCTGAAGAATTCATCAACAACAATTACTTAGCAGATTAAGGGGGTAATTGTTGACTTACATCACAACTGCACTGCAAAACCATTTTGGACAAGAACAGCCTAACCTGCCCATCTGCTTCTGCAACATCACAGTATCACTGAAACAATCTCCTGACTAATAGGATGTCCTCTGCCTGTAATCAAAGACAACTCCAAGCACCTTGGAACTCCAAGATAAACTCAAGGATGCTTTAGGTGAAAGGCCTATTTCTCTTAGCATGTAAAGCAAAAATAAAATACGGACATTTCATGTAAGCTGCTTTCTTTCAGCTTAGAGAAAGCTTAGACATTTGTACAAAACGGCTTGAGAAGAGCCTTGTGTACACGTGGCTGTCCCTCTGTGCAATATGGATCAATATGAATCATCTTCAAAATAAGAATACAGGCTGGCATAAATAGGGAATAGGAAAAAGCACAAAACGATGTGCCTTTGTAAAATAGTCTCTAAAAATATCATCATAAAACCACTTTGCTACTTTATTTTTAATATCTGCTTTTTGAAGCAAATTCTTCACCACAGTATCAGAATCTGAAGCAGTTACTCACAGAAAAACAGAATTAAAATAGAGGATTAGTCTTCTCTTATCCTTGGTCAAGAATGATCAAGATCACTTATAATACTAATATTTACTTAGGTTAAGACCATGGTCTATCTTGAAACATTCACTGAATCACATTCATCTTTCTAATGAATGCTACCACAACCTCCAGGCACTTGTTGAAGAAGCCAGTGGTTGTTAGCAGGCTAGGTGAGAGGAATATCCAGCTCTAAATTACTTTCTAAAAGTAAGGTTAGAGAGAAGGAGAGAGAAAGAAAAGAATGGCAACATTGCATATAGCTACAAAAAAAAAAAAAAAAGCATAGCTGAATACAGATTAGAATCTCTCTCTTACCTTCAGAATTCACTCCAAGAAGTGACTTTAAAAGTTTATTCAATTCCAGAGTACACCAAGGTACATTATAGTGAATGATGATGTGGTCTCAATAGAACTATTGAACCTCTGGCTACCTGTTGTTTTGTGGAGCACAAGTAACTGTTCTGGTGAAGTATTACTTTTCCTGTGGTGGTTCAGATAAAAACCAAAGCAAAACACTGAGGTTTGTCCAGATCATGACTACTATATATGTGGTTTCTCATATTAATGCAGAAAAATTTTTAAGGGTCTGATAATTACTTTTTTCAGAAGGAAATACTTGGAAGGTATAAAGGAAACACACCTCTTGGATAACAACAGCTATCACAACTATGGCAACACCTATCAACAACCCTGCTCCTGTTATCAAGTCCCCCTGCACCAGATGTTTCTCTGCAATTAAATACCCATATCATGCTGCTGTGGAACACTGGCAAGAATACACATGATCCTGTGCTATCAATACTTACATGTTATTTATGGAACCTCCCTCAACAGCTCAACATCTACAGCAAGAAAGACTATGCAGAAAAGCACCCCTTCTTCCTTATATGCCAAATGGCATAGATTTAAATAAATATTTTTAGTATTTCATTTCCCTTTTCTCTGAATTACACAGCTGCAAGAAAAATAGTGCATAATTAAGATAAAATCTCCTACCACAATGATTTAAGCAAAGAGGCTCAACCTCAGACTCAGGTCCTGGGGATCTGAATTTGAATAGGATACATTTAGGAATAAGAAATACAGAGCAAAATACCTACAGAATCTGACTGGCCAAACAAACTTTAATCTTTCCTTGTAAGCAAGCAAATAAATCTAGAAGCACATTATATCCCATGTTGTATTATTTCATCCACTCTTCACCAAAATCTTAAATATTTCAGGTAACATATTTTAGACTCTTAAAAAGCCCAACTGTCCAAATGCTTTGAAGTTTAAAGATCATGGTTATCATTAGTCTCAAATGAAGACTGCATCAGGTGAGATTAACTAGATGAAGCATGGAGCTGTAAGAATAGAAGATGCTGCTGCTTCAACTGCTCTGTCCTGGAGCCCAGAAAGAAAAAACAAAGACGAAAAATTGAAGCCCTAACTCAGGACTATTTTAAAAAAAGGTAAAGGTGAAAAAAAAAAAATCAGGGTAGGAAAGGGACAAGGGATAAAGAGGACAAGTATGAGATTTCCAGGATCCCAAAGGGACCATACATTGATGTGCAGAACTCCAGGAAGCTGAGATTTGCTTTGTAAACTCCCTTCTGGTGC